GCGCTTCGCGTACGCGGAGCAAAACTCGTCCTTGGACCCACCGCCGACATACTCATGGCGCGCGTCGCGCGGCATTGCTGGATGCCCGAACGGTTGTAATTCTACCCACATGCAAGTCTTCACCACCCCGCGCGTCAAGTTGATGTACTCTTGGTTCAAGTTCCTCTGCGTCCCAGCGCATTGGTCCTGAGCACCCACACTGCGACGATGCCGCACGCAGTGCACTATAGGGGCGCTCTCCCCCCTCACATTCAAAGGGAGCGACACTTGCACGACCCCTGAGCCCAGACTTGCGTCATCGAAAGCAGCTTGCATCAAACAACACAGCGGGATTGCTGACCGGCTCAAAGGCACGATGATCAGCACCGTTGGTCGTGGAAAACCTTTCCACTCCCGCTGGCGACTCCTGTACTCGCACAAATATGCGGCAACAGCGTGGCATAGACATTCGAACAAGAGAGGGTGCCAACCGACTTCATCACCGCCCCGCAGTGGACTCCTGCACCATTGGTCGCCGTCGTAGAATACGTGCTGCAATGCGGTGTTACGAGCGACAGCCGAGTCAGAAGCAAAAGTGCTCGCGAAATCAAAGCACTGCGCCACGTAGTTGCAGACGTCCTTGCCGCACCTTTTGCAAACGTCGAGGACTGCATTCTCGGCGTCTCTGCACCATTCGCACCACGGACGGGCCTCAGGGATGGCCACGCTTCCTGTCAGAGCAGACGGCGTGGGCTGAGCTACGCTCACTGCCATCGCGGTGCAATCCTCGCCATCACCTTCCAGGCCGCGCGGAGCGAAGGGCAGCGCGCCGACGGCGCTGTCGGAGCTGAAGGTGGTGCGCGAACGCCGGCGACCGACATTCTCCACTCTCTGATGCTGGTCCCCCACCATGAGCAATGTCTTCACAGACACGTTCGCCAAGGCAGCTACCACCTGGGAAACGTCGTAGGACTCAAACTCCTCCATGCAGAACAGGCTGATCTCCAGGCGATCCAACAAACGGTTCATGCATCCTTGAATGCCTCCCGCCCGCCACCTGACGAAAGAATCCATTGTTGAAGCAATGAGATAACCGTTGGTGCCTTCTGTGATGACGTCGTCCCAGTGCTCCGCCCTTCGCCGTTTGATGGCAAAGATCTGTAGCATGCGCTGGCGAGCATGGCCGCGGAACACCTCCAGCGCCGCGAACACAGCGTCCTCGACCACGACAACAGAGGCCGCTGGCAGCTCATTCCAGGAGATGCTGAACTCCAAGATGCACTGAAAAGCAAGGCGTAGAACCGAAGCTTCCAGCTCTTCCACCTCTGCGCGCAGAGGGCGCAGCCGTTCTTGCACCAAGTCCGCAACCTTATTTTCCCATGTGCTCAACGCCCCGGGAGCATCTGAAGGTCGCCCAAGCCAAACAACTCGGGGCCCGTAATCATCCGCCACGAACACGTTGCCTAGGAGATCCGGACCTTGCAATATGGAGTCACGCAGATTACGCGAAGGAATCACGATCACCACTGCGCCATTCCGCGTGCCCACGTCGGCAGACGCTACCTCGACCAGCAAAGCTAAAAGTAGCGACTTTCCAGTACCTGCAAAAGCCTCTATGACCAAGTGATGATTGTCCGACGCGTTGATGATCTCCATGCATCGCTTCTGATCGCCCGACAGCTGAATGCCGCGCCTGCGCAATACCGTCTGGATGAAGTCAGACGATGGAGAGACTCTATTATTCAACACATTTCCGACTGCGACTGGCGGTCCACGCCAAGGCTGCGCCATGGAAAAGGCAGACCGCAGAGCGCCGAGCCCAAGAGTATTCTCCGCAGTAGCGCTGCGAACAAGGGCGGCGCGCTGGTATACTCGGTTGCCAACCCATTCAAGGATAACGCCGAGATACTCTCCATCTGCGTGCACCTCTGGCTCCAGAGTGATGCGAGTAGCGTAATCTTTCCTCGGCGCGGCCGTTACGACATGGAGCGTTCCGCTCTGGTACGCCGCTTCGAGGCTATCTGGGCTAACGCGCGGTCTAGCAGTGCGAATATCTCGACGGGCTGCGCTAAGCGCATTGCCCTGGATGCCTATGTTCGACAGTACGCGCGCACTTATCATCCACAGCATGCGGTGCTTGTCGGTTGCGAAGTCGCCGTCGGAATCAACGCGCCAACGGGCACCCCTGTCAGTGAACGTGTGCATGTTGCACACGATGGAAGCACCACCGAGGTTGTCCTCGTGAACCTTCAGACGCACCACATCTTCGTTGCGAACAGACCCCGCCCGCAGTTCGCACAGCAGCTTGCCCTTCGCCGCATGCAGCAGCGCTGGCGCGACCTCTGCCTCTACGTTGAACGTGGTCTTGCGAGCCACGTTGCTGGGCCCTAAGCCGCGGCAGTCCACGGACATGTGCACGGCGAACTTCTCCAGGCGGCCGCAACTGCACCCCCGAGCCACGATATCCGCCGGCGCAAACACCGTGTCACCGCAAGCTTTCCAGGCAGTGCTGCGGCGCTCCGGAGGAGGCAGCCCCATCGCGCCCAGCTGAGCGACGAGTTTCCTCATGCAGTTCAGCTCACCGCTGCCATCCCCCCTCTGCCTCTTAAAACTTTGACCTTTCTTGTTCGCGATGGCCTGCTCCGCGTAGTCTATTGCTTGCAGGGCGTTCCGTTTTATCGCCCGAGTAGCTCTGGCGGCAGGCAATCCGCGATATCTGCTGGGCGACGCCGGTACGGCGACGACCGGTCGTTGCCAAAAGGAGAGGCAATGACCACCTCCTCATCGGCACGCACAGCCACCCAAAACTTCCAGACTGACTTGCCGGGCAACGTACTGTGGATGACGTCAGCCTCGCCAGACGGTAACCATGCGCCACGCACCGCAAGAATGACGCGCGGAGTCTCTCGCGCATCTGGAAACCGGCACGCGGCAGGACCTGTCAGCAAGCTATCCGACCCGTTCCGAGACGGATGAGCGCAGCTAAATTCCAAATCTTGGCTGTGCGACGGACCGCCACCATCGATCGACGCTCCAAACGTGTCCCGCATGAACTCGTCGAAGGACGTGCCCTCGCGCTGCTCGCTCCAAGGAGCCCCCGTGGCTAGCAAGGTTACCAGAGCGCACGGGCGCATCTCCATGACTACGGAAGCGATTGCTGGTAGACGGAAGCGATTGCTGGTAGGCGGAGCTAAGCTCACAGCCACACTGCAACACTGTGAACCAGAATGGCAACAGCGACGACAACGCTGGAGGAAATATAGACTTGGGCCTCTCCTGAGAACCTTGGTGACCTCGTGGCGAGCTCTGGGGGCCTCTAGGGCTGAAGTGTCGTCGTCTGATGTTGTGTGGTGTCGTGTGTAGAGGTTTGTAGTGGTGAGCAGTGGTGTCTAGTGTGGTGCAGTGCGGTGTGGTGCGGTGTGGTGCGGTGTGGTGTGGTGTTCGTGCGGGGTGGTCTAGTGCGGTGCAGTGCGGTGTGGTTCCTGAACTCTCTCCTTTGCTGATTCCTCCGATATCGCCTTTGCTGTTTCTTGGTTCCTTTTCTGTTTCCTGTCGCGTTTACTGATCGTGCTGGTATGGGTTGAGTGGCGTGGCGTGGCGTGGCGTGGCGTGGCGTGCCGTGGTGTGGTGTGGTGTGGTGTGGTGTGGTGTGCTGTGGTGTCGTGTGGTGTGCTGTGGTGTAGCCCGCTGGCGGTCTCTAGATATCACTGCACAACTGGTCGGGCAGGTTGCTGGATGGGCGGAGCTAAGCTCACTGCCACTCTCCGAACTATGCGTTCAGAGGGAGACCTGCCCATCCGTGCCGAGTTACGCTCACTGCACAACTGGTCGGGGGAGAACGCTGGATCGTCGTCGTCGTCGTCGCCTGCATCGTCGTCGCCGACGTCGTCGTTGTCATCGTAATCGTCGTCGTCGTCGTCGTCGTCGTCGTCGTCGTCGTGGTCGTCGCCGTCATCGTCTGAGGCGTCGCCGTCATTTGAGTCGTCTGACTCGTTCACGTGTGTGAAACGACGACGACCGCCCTCTGTCTTCCCTCCCAACACCTTCTCTCCCTCCTCCTCCTCCTCGGACTCGTCCTCCTCCCGCTCCCCCCACTAGGTGGATGTACAAGGCGGCAGGAGGACATAGGAACAGGGTATATATGCGAGAGCAGGCAGAAATACGCCTGAAAAACACGACTGTCGGCATGCTTCGCTGGAGTTGCTGTTTGGGGATGGGCTGGTGGGGATACGCGAAGCGTGAAGAAATTTTCCTGTCTTCGGGGCGGGCTTCGAAAACTTCTCAGAAGGCCGGGGGACTTCCGAGACTTCTGAGAAGGCCCGCCCCTTCTCACTTCCCCCCCTCGCTCGCCGCCGATCAAAGACATCCCCATGGCATTTGAAGGACCTATTACGTCCTTCTACTGGTCCACGCGAACGTGCTGTTCCAGCTCTCGCGCATCTCCTTGAAACTGAAGCAAAATTGGTATGACTTGGTGTGTGTGTGTGTGCAGCCCAGACTTTTTGGGAATATCTTCCAAATTGGCGCACAAAATCCTCGCCAGCCTGGGTCCTCTTCGAGCACACATAATGTTGTTGAAAATATGCATTTTGCCTGAGACCTAAGTATTATCCCAGCTGCTAGACGAACCCCATTGAGCTCGACGTCAGAGAGCCCGTGGATCCCCGACCCATAAAACACCCCTGGGAAACAATTTGACACTGATGTACGTTTCGTGTACCTCGCGATCGTCTTGCCAATCCGACCAAACTGAAGCGTCGACGCCTTCAGGGTGCACATACGAGCCTTATTTTTTGTTAGACCTTAGCCCCCTTCACCTAGTCCTACCCGCAGTATCGTCGATCCCCAGATTAACGGCGGAGTCAACCATGGGAGCCGAATTGTCACCCATAAACAACAGAGGGAGGGAGAAGGGAGGGGAGAAGAGAGAGAGAGAGGAGGGAGGGAGGAAGGGAAGAAGGGAGAGAGAGCAGGAAGGGAGGAGAGGGAAGAGGAGGGAGGAGGGATGGGAGGGGCAGGGCCTCGTCCAACTGCTGGTCGTTCGGTACCGGAAGGCGCACGAACTGCGTCAGCAACCGCACTCCGAACGCGTGCGCCGCCACGGAGGCGTGCATCGCGAGCCAGATACTGCGGCGGAAAGGAATGGAAGGCCAGGATCAAAATGGCCGCCCAGGCAGCAAGCAGACCCCCAAGAGGCCCCCAAGAGGCCACCAAGGCCCCCAGGAGGACCCCAGCAGGGTCCCCAATAGGCGCCCAGGAGGGCCCCATGAGGCCCCAAGCGAGGGGCCCCTTGTCCACGACCCGGGCAAGCACGGTGGCGGAACGGGCCGAAGGCCACTGAATCCGCCACCATCTGTTGCTTGCAAAGAGGTGCATAGCGTGCTGAATGTTAACTGACTCCTTGGGCCCTTCCAACGTTCACCCAGCTGGCTACCCAGAAGGCCGCGGAAAAACTGGAAAGCCAAGAAAAGACGCCTCCCAGAGGACCAAGATGGCCCAAGATGTCCCCCAAGAGCGTCCCAAGACGCCGCCAAGACTGGCCCCAAGAGAGCCCCAAGATGGCCCCATGACGCCTCCAAGACGGCCCAAGATGGCAACAAGACGGCACAACAAGAATTCTTCCAGACGACCCACCAGCCCCCAAGACGCCCCAAAGGGCTTCAAGAGAACCTCCAGGAGGGCCCGAAGAAGGCAAAACCATCATTTTCCCTCAGGTGTTTGAATGATTTTCGCGTTTTCGCCTCTTCGGGCGTCCCACCGTCCAAGACGGCCCCACAGGCTTCCAAGACGGCCCCAAGGCAGCCCGAGAGGCCTCTAAGAGAGCTCGAAGACGGCCCAAGAGAACCCCAAGATGGCTCAGCACGTGCTCCAAGACGGCCCGAGGCGCCCTCCAAGACAGCCCCAGAGGGTCCAAGAATCATCCAAGTGCGCCCAAGATGCCTTCAAAAGCACAACATGGTCTCAAAGCGGCTAAAGACGGTCTCAAGACGGTAGAAGAGACCCCCAAGACTGCCCAAGAGGGCTGCAAGAGGCCCTCCAGAAGGCTCGAAGAAGCCAAAAGCATGTTTCCCTTACGTTGCTGACACAGCTTAGCGCTCTCGACTATTCAGGTTTCCGACGGCCCAAGACGACCCAAGAGGCCTCTGAAATTGCCCGATGACAACCCAAGAGGACTCGAAGGCCCCAAGATGGCCCAGGAGGGCCCCAAGATGGCGGGTATTGCTAAAGATAACCTCCACGACAAGCCAAGACTGTCCAAAATGGCCTCCAACACGGCCCAAAGGTTTCACGAGGCCTCCAAATTCGTTCAAGATGCCTCCAAGACGGACCAACCTCAAGACGGCCCAAGAAGCTCCAAAGACGGCCAAACAGGGCTCCAAGAAGCCCTCCAGGTGGTTCCCTTAGGTTGTTGAAGGATTGTAGCGCTCTCGACTTCCAGGCACTCATGCGGCCCAAGACGGTCCCAGAGGCCTCCAAGAGGGACCCTAGACAGCCCAAAACACCCCCAAGAAGACCTCAAGAGGGCCCAAGAGAGCCTCAAGATTACCTAAGAGGCCCTCAAGACGGCCCCTGAGCGACTCAGAAGAGGCCCCAAAGAGGTATTGAAGAGGCTCTCTCTCAATGGACCCTCAAGCAAACTCATCCTCCCTTCTTCCTCCACCTCCTCCTCCTACGAAGCCTACTCGTACTACTGATACGAATACGAATGCGAATACCAATAATATTATTAGTACGACTACTACTACTACTACTACTACTACTACTACTACTACTACTACTACTACTACTACTACTACTACTACTACTATTACTACTACTACTACTACAACTACTACTACTACTACTACTACTACTACTACGACTACTACTAGTATTATTACTACTACTACAACTACGACTAGTCATAC